CACTCCTTGGACATCCTATGTTTTGGTTGTTAAGTGCTGTCGAGTTGGTTCTGCTCCATAGTGAGTGACCCTGTGGTTCAAAAGGACCTTGCAACCATTAACCCACAGTGCCACACCAGACCTACAGGGTTGCTATTAGTTGGAACAACAAGTAAAACTATTAAATGAATGATTACTCTAAAAGTATAAAGGTTGGTTTCAGATTTGACTTGTGGGTGGCATGTAGTAGAAACTCAATAAATATTTGTAGAATGGTTAAAGAAAATCTCAAAAATTCAACATAGATAGATAGTCTGAGGGTATGCATATATCTTGGAATCCTTTTGCATATGGATAACTGTATTACTGATTACAAATGATGGTTCTGGCTTTCTATGATGAGAAGGGAAAACTTAAGAAAATGAGCAGCTTTGTATGTAGCCATCTCTCAAAGCACAGAGGATATAAATCTGTATTAAATAGAAGTAAAACCCTGTACAGGGTCGCTATGAGTCGGTTCCGACTCCACGGCACATAACAACAACAACAACAACAAATAGAAGTAAGAGAAATGTTGAGTTGTCTCCAAGGTCAAATTCCAATTGTATCTGCTGTGAATGGAGGTTGAAAGATGGGAGTGGTCAATCAGGCAGCATAAAATATGGTGGAGGAACCAAAACCACTATGATGGATTTTGTTGTGTTTATTAGAGGAACATACACAAGTAGACTAGAAACTTCATTATCATGCTTTCACCAGAGACTGGAATCTAAAGAGTGGGATCAATGTACTTGTTCAGGCTCTTCAAGCAGAACTGACCACTTCTACAGCCCCTCTTTTTTTTTTTTTTTTTAAACATGTGTGTGGTGTCATCCAGATATGGCTCTTATACCATGACACTTTCCATTTATGTCTAAATTGTGTGCATATTCAAATTACCATTAAAATAAAACAGAATCCTTTACTTATACAATTACTTTACTATCTTATGCCTTTTGAAAATCTTTTCAGCTTCAAAGCTGACATCATTCTATCAAAATCCAAGACTCTAACTGGACATATTATAATGATTAACATTTTGTTGTCTAAATTCTAAAGCTGATACTTGAATTTCTTTTTCTTTACTTTGTTATCTTTTAACTTGCTGTGCCATTAAAAGTAACATTTAGCACTGTTAGATGAAAGCAAACTAAAATCATGGATAAAATAGCTCATGTCAAATAGAAAAACAATTTTCTAAAATTATGAGAACTCAAGTTAATCTAACACTTCAATTTATTCACACAATTATTTTCTGCAGTTAATGGACAGTATCATGAAAAGATAGGACATATCAGTGAGAAAAAGTAGTTCTTCAGATATAAAATGTAATTGGAAGCTTAGCTCATTTACTATGAGGAAGTTTATACCTGGGTGCAGTCATCTAGAGATATTTTGTAAGCTAAACATCTGTTTTATGAGGTTTCCTATATCATGTCAAAAGGGAATAGTCAGTCAAGTGAAAATAAAAATCTACCTGACTATAAGGAGCTCTGGTAGCATAGTGGTTACAAATCAGGCTGCCAATCTCAAAGTCAGCAGTTCAAAACTACCAGCGGTTCTGTGGGAGAAAGATGAGATGTTCTGCTCCTGTAAAGATTTACAGCCTCGGAAACCCTGTGCAGGGTCACTATGAGTCGGAACTAACTCCACGGTACTTAACAACAACCATACCTGAATATATATCAGTGAGGATAGTCAGGCCTTTAAAAATGTAATTGTAGAATTATAACTTCCCATTAAAAACTTTTTAAGGACTTTCAAAAGCATAATGATGGTGAGCAAAAGGACTTAAAAATATATAAACAAAAATATGTAAATGAACACACAGGAAGAAGAATGAGAGCACATTAAGAAAAGCTTTACCAAGAAAAAAAAAAGAATACTTATCACATACCACTTACCACAACACTAAGCTCGAAATCTTATATTCTATGCTTTTTAATCTTTTAATAAGACAAGGAGTAGATAATATTAAGACTATTCTATAGATTGAAAACTGAATTCTGTAAAGGTGAAGTGATAACATCCAAAGTTTCAGAGCTAGTCAGGGTTGAAACCAAGAAGGATTTGACCTTAAAGACAACACTTTTCCCTAAAAATCTAGTTGGCATTAACAGATTTGAGTTAGGAATTAAAATGAAACACAACTTGGCAGGGAAATAACAATTTAGAAAAATCATGATGCTTCTATCTACCCTATTCACTAGTTTGTTTGTTTTTTTTACAGAATCTAGCACAATTCCAGGAATATAGCAGTGATTAATCAACATTTTTAGAGTCCTGGTGTGGTGCTGTGGGTTACTGTGCTAGACTGCAAAGCTGGTTTGAACCACAAAGACCAGGGGTTCAGTGCTTCTTGGAAACCTTATACAGGGTTTCTATGGGTCGAACTGAATCTACGGTACATAATAACAACAATAAATATTTACACAATGAATATTTTTGAATGCGTTAGATGACAAAAGTCTTAGGAAAGGTGAGATGACAAGGAACAAGGAAGAAATGTAAGAGACAGAGAAGGGATAAGTACTGCCCATAATCAGAATTTCTGAAGAGTCTTATTGTTGTTAGCTGCTGTCCAGTCAGTTCCTACTCGTGAGGCCCTAATGTGTGCAGAACACAATTGTACCAGAGGCATTTCAGTGCAATCTGTGAGGCCTGTCTTGCTTTTGGGCTCGTTCATACTGCCACTTCGGTCTATTAATGGAGTGCTTAACTGTTTGTGTTACCCAGGAAAGCCTACATCCCTTTAACTCAGGTAAAACTATTTCTCAACTATTCCAAAACTCGGTGCACACTTGGAATCCCGTGTCCCCTGGTGGAGGCACACTCACGTGTAGACAAGTAGTGTGGGCCAGACATCAAGATCAGGTGGACACTGTGAGATGCAAGTGGGTCATATTCTGATATTCAAGTGACAAACTGACACAAAACCAGGCAAATTAAAAAAAAAAAAACAGATCTTCTAGCAAATATTTATTATTGTCCCAATTTGTCCCCCAGTCACAAGAAATGTACACAAAGTAAAATATTTCAATGAAGTAAAAAATGAAATATTGCACTATTTTTAAAATGACTGGATATGTTATGATCAAATGACTGAATTTTCCTAATTTTTATTCACATGTTGGACTTCATGTAGCTATTAGTTCACTCCTGGGGAAGAACTAGTTAGAAAAATTATGACATTTCAATATTCAATATACTAGGGTTGTTCTTGAAAAGTCACCATTGAGTTATATCTATCTCAAGATCCACAAATGTCAATTTGGATATAACTTACTTGGTTATGTATATTTCTTCAAAAAATAGAAATAAAAATTAAATACTTTTATAATTTAATTCAATACTTAAATTCAATACTTTGGACTATTTTTATACCACAAAACAATTTAGAGTACTAGTAAAATTCAATTTCAGTATAGCAATTTATAAGCCTACTCTAAAATCTTACTTCATTATACAGGAAATAAGTAGTTAGTAGCTCCAGAATGATCATAGAAAATCATAGCTTGGAGAGTATTCTAGGGATAGACTGGGTTGAAAAGGTCTGAGACACTCATTCTATAAGTCTGTTAAAATAGTCACTCACCACCAGGTGGTTTTTATCTCCTTGGTGACTCTAAAGGGACCACATCTTAAAAAATCCTAGGCATCTAATATCCAGTTGCTGTATAGTCACTTCCAACTTATGCACCCGTATGTGTGTCACGGAGCTCTGGTAGCGTAGTGGTTATGAATTGGGCTGCGAACCGCAAGGTCAGCAGTTCGAAATTACCAGCTGCTCAGCGGGAGAAAGATGAGGCGTTCTGCTCCCATAAAGACTAACAGCCTCAGAAACCCTGTGCAGGGTCGCTATGAATCGGAACCAACTCCACGGCACATAACAACAACCATGTGTGTCATAGTAGAACTGGGCTCCCTAGGGTTTTCAATGTCTGATTTATTTGAAGTAGATAATCAGGACTTTCTTTCAAGGGGCCTCTGAGTGGACTCCACCCATCAAACTTTCAGTTAGCAGCCACTTGTGTTAACTGTCTGTATCACCGAAGGGCTTCCCTAGGCATTTAGGGATCCAAAATGACTGAAGCCTGTTGGTAATCCCTTGGGGAATTATGACCCATATCAGGATTCAAAAATGGTTGGAAAATGAGTTGTTTTCAGCAACCCAGAGAAGCTCAGGGCTGTTTGCTTTCCTGGTGTTGGTCTGCTGAGCCATTCACACAGAAAAATGCTAGTGCTAGGCAGGCAAAACATAATCAAATAGAATAGATTATTATGTAGCTTAAATGCACTAAGGATATTAAACTCCCCTTTTTAAATCACAGAAAAACACTGGGCTAAACTATTAAAATGGAAAAAAACAGTATGAAGAGTACTATAAAAATGTGAGTCATTTAAAAAATGGATTTAATATCAGCCTTTTTGAGTTACATTTGATGTTTCACCCATCATTATCTGAGGTTTACAGGAGAAACAATGAACTGTCTGCAAAATGAGGAAATAATCAAGGAAAAAAATGCCATTTTATTTCTATTTAATATCTACATAACCACTGTAGAAAACACAAAATGACTGTAGTAGAGATGTAGGAAGAAAAAGATGATTCTTCACTGTCCTTTTAAAGAAATAGATTTTTTTTGGTGAGGGGTGTTTTTTCCATTGTTTTTGACATTTTGCAAATTTTTAGGAACATATTTTCTCTGTGTGTGCATGCACATGCACATACACATACAAGAACATGTGGGTCCAATGAAGTCATTGTAGATCCTGTGCACAAATCTCTCTTAAAAATAATACCCAGAAGACCTGTATACTTTTAAACAGAGGTTATATAATCCCCTGGCCCCATTTTACCAGCTGTCAGCATCTGGAGGCTCGCCCCACTCTTTCTAAAGAGCATCTCTCAAAAGGTTATCATGTGAGTAGCAACTGATGAGTGTAGCTTGTTGTATTAGAGATGCAAATGTTTTTCTTACCTCTTCCTTCTCAGCACTTTGCAGATCACGCCATTCCTCAGTTACGTGTCCAAAATCCACTGTGTTCATGGGGACTTTAAATTCCCCAATGATATCATGCTTGGAGAAACGGTCAAAGTCATACACAGCCATCACCAGAGTTTTGCCACCTAATTCAGAGTATGGCACCTAAAAAAAACAAAAAGACAAAATAACTGTCTTAATTTTAATGTTTGTATTAGATAAACCAAAAAAGGGAGGTGATTAGGGTTTTTGGTTCCTATTTAAATTCAGTAATTCAATTTTAATTATTGGTCTGAGTATGAATATACAGTATGAGACTTAAATTACTTGGGAGACAATGGGAATTTACCATAGTGATTTATCACTTTATCTTAAAGTTCTAGAGACTTTCAGTACTGTTAATAATGGATCAACTAGTACTAATAAATACCTCAAGATTAATAAAATAATAAAAAGCCAATTACATTGACTATTATTTACATGCATGTTTTTCATGCAGAATATTTTAAATTATAATTATTAGAGTATGATTTACTTGGGGACATATTACTTGGTTCAGATAGGAGTAGTATGAAAGAATGTAAGTGAAATTCACAAAGTTCTTTACCTACCTGCCCCCTAAAATAATTTACTGACTGACAAGAGTTGACTAGAAAATGGATGTTTTGAATATCAAAGATGCATTATAATAAGGATCTTGAAGTTCATTCTTGGGTGTGACAGACGTTAGGATGAGTGTTGGCAAAGGCCAAGAACAATGAATTCTATAGCTGTTGGGATAGATCTGAGACAGATGCTATGGGTTAGGATGTTTATTAGTTACATTTTCAATATTCAAGAAAAGCAGTGCGATCCAAGTAAGCTGCACTTCAGTACCTGGGTAGAAAAGTCTAATTAAAAAAATGTTAAGACTTGTACTGAAGGCTTGATCAGCTCTGATACACTTCCTAATGTTTTATCAGTGTGAATGGCTATCTTACCCTCTCACAAACATTTCTTAATTAACTCTGTATATTAAAACAGAAAAGAGAACAGAGAATATTTAATTATGTAAGCATAAAAAAATTTGAGGTTTCTAAGGTGTTTTATCTTCTGTTATTTTTCATCCTTTGGAGTGTATTTTATAAAAATGCTATTGTTGTTGTTAGGTGCCATTGAGTTGGTACCAACTCATTGCGACCCTATGCACAACAGAACAAACACTGCCCACTCCTGGGTCAACCTCATAATGGTTACCATGCTTGAACTCATTGATGCTGCCACTTAGCCAATCCATTTCGTTGAGGGTCTTCCTCTTTTTCTCTGACTCTCCACCTTACCAAACATGATATCCTTCTTCAGCGACTGGTCCCTCCTGACAATACATCTGAAGTATGAGAGATGACATTTGGCCATCCTGGCCTCCAAGGAGCACTCCGGCTGCACTTCTTCCAACATGTATCTGTTGGTTCTTTTGGCAGCCCATGGCACTTTCAATATTTTCCTCCAACACCATAACTCAAATGCATCAATTCTTCTATGGTCTTCCTTATTCACTGTGTGGCTTTTGCATGTATATGAGGTTATTGAAAATACCATGACTTGGGCCAGGTGCACCTTAGTCCTCAAGCTGACATCTTTGTTCTTCAACACTTTAAAAAGGTCTTGTGCAACAGATTTGCCTAATACAATGCACCATTTGATTGCTTGACTGCTGCTTCCGTGAATGTTGATGATCCAAGAAATATGAAGTCTTTGACAACTTCAATCTTTTCTCTGTTGATAGGAATGTTGTTGATTGGTGAGGATTTTTGTTTTCTTTAAACTGAGATACAATCTATACCAAAGGCTGTGATTTTTAATCTTCATCAGTAAGTATTTTAGATTCTAATAACAATATGGCTTTTTGGAATACAGGAAAACCTGTGAAAGCCAAAACTTGTGTAAGGATACAACCCTAGTGTACAACTTTCTGATGTTAAACCATTCAATACCCAGTTGTTCTTTTGAAACAACTATCTCTTGGTCTATATACAGCTTATTCATGAGCATAATTAAGTATTCTGGAATTTTCAATCTTTGTAGTATTATTCATACTTTGTTAGGATCCACACAGTCCAATGACTTTGCATAGTCAATAAAGCACAAGTAAACATCTTTCTGGCATTCTCAGTTTTCAAGCAAGATCCATCTTGTCACTAATGATATTCCCTCGTTACATGTCCTTGTCTGAAACCAGCTTGGGTTTCTGGCAGTTTCATGTCAATGTATTGCTATAACCATTTTTAAATTATCTTCAACAATATTTTACTTGTACGTGATAGTAATAATTTTGTTTGACAATTTCTACATTCTGTTGGGTCACCTTCCTCTGGATATTGTTTGGATTTCTTTGGATATGGGTATCTTTTAATGAGTTAGCCAGGTAGTTGTCTTTCAAATTTCTTGGCATACATTAGTGTGCACCTCCAGCGCTGCATCAGTTTGTTGAAACATTTCAGTTTGTAGTCTATCAATTCCTGAAGTCTTGTTTTTTTGTCCTCAAGCTGACATCTTTGCTCTTCAACACTTTAAAAAGGTCTTGTGCAGCGGATTTGCCTAATGCAATATTCATCATTTGATTTCTTGACTGCTGCTTCCATAAGTGTTGATAGTTGACCCAAGAAGAATGAAGTCCTTGACAACTTCAATCTTTTCTCCGTTGTTTACTGGTCCAGTGGTGAAGATTTTTGTTTTCTTTACATTGAGATGCAATCCATACCAGAGGCTATGGTTTTTATCTTCATCAGTAAATGTTTTAAGTCCTCTTCACTTTCAGCAAGCAAGGTTGTATCATCTGCATATCGCAGGTTGTTAATGAGTCTTCCTCCAAT